CTCACTCTCACTCTCACTCTCACTCTCTCTCTCTCTCTCTCTGTGTGTCTCTCTCCCCCTCACTCTCTCAGTCTCTCTCACTCTCACTCCCACTCTCACTCGCACTCCAACTCCACTCTTCTCCAATTCACTCACTTTCACTCGCGCGGTTTCAGTCACTTGCTTTCACTCACTTTAACTGACTCACTTTCAGTCATCACTCTCACTCACACACTACCCAGCAACATTTGCGATAAGCAAGCAAGCAAGCAAGCAAGCAAGCACAAACATCTCAGATTATGACTAGACTGACATGAACACATAGCACCAGCACTGAGCGCAGTACTCTTACCGGCTTACCACAAGACCGGTCTCAGGTTGAGCAGCCTTATTATTCTCACCAAATTGCAAATTGATTGCAGTCAGCTAGGTAGTGTGCAAGTCGCTCGAGGAACTAGGCCCAACACTTCCGCGTGGGACACGCTAGGGCCGCTAGGGCGGACCACCTCAAGACAACCTTTTGCAAGGTGTCACACAAGCTGCACGGCAGATAAGTCTCAAGTCTTCCGAATTCAGCATTTTCTTGGCCTTTGTGACATTCTATTTTTGAAGCTCTTGGGCAACATAAGCTTGAACGTTTCGCAAAGCATCACATTTCTGAACGTTTGGAACTGTGGATTCAACACCTCCGATGCCAATTTCAGAAGATTTTGTCTTATGCACAGTTGGAGCATCTCAGAATGCACCCACCGTTTTTAGAGCTCCTCTTATTATTGAATTTGTAACTGCATCTATGTTTTGTTCTGTTCTTCCAGACAAACCAACATATTTTCAAATTTGCAGAATCCTTGACTCGCAATGTGCTCCTTGATCCTGCCGCACGCACTCAAACCAAGATTGCAAATTCATGGGCAGGGCAATGAGTACCGACCCCAAAGAGTAGGTGGTATGGTATGATTTCAAAATTCATTCCGCAGGTCGAGGCACCGGCCTGACAGAACTGCAATATCATGCTAGTATGCTTCTCATGAGTTCTGAGTGGTCCAACCTGCGCCTGACTTAAGGTGCAGGAAGCCTCGGGTCGAACACTGGCCCTGGAAGCAGAGGTGAAACGAGAGGCAGATTTCAATGCATCCCTGGAGGAGCTGGGCAGCTGAGACTTTATGATGGTTCCCATTAGGTTGGAGGCCATCACTCTTAGGAGGCCAT